TGTGCAGCACCCCTGGGGATCTATGTTTGTTGTGGTGGCAACACTGCCACTCATGCCTGCATTTTCGGACATCCATCTGTCGCGGGGCCTTCGGGAGGTAGCTTAAAGCGAGCGTCGACAAAAAACACATTTCTCAGGCTTGCCAGTTGCTGAAAGCATTTTCATAGGCCCCGACCCCAAACAGCATCAAGAGCCCAGTATGGAGACACATTGGTGCCACTTGGTGCCAGGGTACCTCGCAGATCTCTGTTCATATTGCCGCTCTGTTTGCAGATCCGAGAGAAACGCGAAACGGCAATGATGCCCATGCCTGCCTCCACATGCTAATGAGCAGAAACCAGATACAGTAGGAGCCGCTAGCCGGAATGCAGACACATGTCACCTACACCGAAACTCCGAGCTCATGTGCTGTGACACTTCCGACCCGCGACAAGAAGACCACAGGGTCCAAAAGTGAGGAAATTACGAGGATTGCGCCCCCGACACGTCGCATCCCCGTGGCTGTTGGCACATTTGACAGGCGACAAGAAGACTAGGGTCCACAAAAGTGATGACAATTACGAAGATCGCGACCCTGGCCCATCCCAGTGACTGTTGGCACTTTTGACAAGCACACTCGCAAAAAGGGAGAGGGTCCAAAAGTGACGATAATTACAAGGATCGGGACGCCCAGTGGCCCAACCCCTGTGACTGCTGACAATTTTGACACGCAACAACAAGACGAGGGTTCAAAAGTGACAACAGTTACGACCTGGACAGGTCCCATACCTGATGCAAGGGTCCAGTGATGATAGTTGCAGGATGTTGCAGGACTGGTGACGCTCGGGCGGTGCAGCCGGCTCGCGGCACTCCTGCGACTAGCGAACGACTGCGGACGCTCTGCGAACGCAAGACCGTGACTTTGGTAAACTCCTGGACCCCTGTGCCCATGCAACACTTAAATCGGGAACCCTTGTGCGGAGCATTCGGGAACATGCCAAGGTAACTGGAAGGGGGGTGAGGGGGGCTGGCCTGTCCCTTGTCGCTGGGACCAGAATTACTGGGCTGTTTGAAATGTCGGCTGTAATCAATCTGATCAGCGCTAGGAAAGTCGCAGCTTTTATACGGAGTTCCTAAATATTTAAAGGGGCTGGTGGGAGCCCTATGCCTCTTGGCCAGCCTGTGAGCTAGGCGCCTCCACGACCTAAATGAACTTGTCAAGGTACTATACTGATTGGGGCTGTCGGGAATAAGAACCCTAACTTTGCAGATGCAATGAGGGAGGACATGCTCAGTACCACAAGGCTTCAAGGGCCACTCCCATGTTGGGATGTCCAGGTCTTCCGTCAACATGACAAAAATTAGGAGTCTCTTACCAATTGCGTAGGGCCGTGGTGAGAACCACACTCACAAGCGCCACTCTGCGTGCGCAAACAGGTTCAATCTCCGATCACTGTTGACCAATGTAGGCCCGTGAATTTGTCACCACGTTGGGGATATTCTACATGTTGGCAAACGTAAGTCTTTATCTCTGGAAGCATGGTAACGGTAATGCAGGGCCAAAGAAGCAAGTGAAACCCAAACCATGAGGAGCCTAACCTTTCCAAAGACAACGTGCTGTGCATTTGAAGCTAGGGGCTTCTGAAGAAGCTGCAGGACCGGCGCACAAGCTTGCCTGAAGCACGGTGCTGGAAGCTAGATATAGATTGTGCCAGTCATGAAGGATCAAAAAGTTACCCGAAGGTCAACGAGACCAAGCACCTTCCGCTAGTTGGGATTGCCAGTAAGAAGGTCAAAGTGGCGATAATGATCAGATTCTGATTGCGGTAGGTAACCTTGAAGTACCTTGGCCCCGTGAATGCATGGGCTAGGTGGTGTCTGTCTTCAAAATGCCACTCGGCAAGATCGGAATCCTTTCTTGGGTTCTTTGATTGGTGCATGTGAGCTCAGCGTGGCGCAGGCCCCTTTGATGTAAGAACGTGTTATGCAAGGCGCGTGACTTCTTGCGGTGGACTGGCTAAACCACAAACTTTGGAGAGGCACAGACCATGTCTGTACATGTCATCGAGCCTGTATGGATAAGACTCTCACGTTTCCAACATCAAGCCTTGTGTGCTTTGTGCTTTCCAATGTTGTTTTCATGACTCAGATCATCCATGCATCATGTGGCGATTATGACAATGATCACAACCCTTTCTCAAACCCGGTCCTCGTTCTGAGCGAAACGTTGAAGTCGCATCGATACAGCAATGCAGAAGTGTGCCGAAGAGGCCAGCATGCGAGCCTTTGCTTCTTTGCTGTGCTGACTACTCTAGTTGTCTCTTTTTTGTTTGCAGGCATGCTGGGGAGAGGTCCGTGTTCAAGGCTTTGGGTCCCGTCTTTGTACTCACTACGCCAGTCTCTCCACAAATATGATGGAGCAGCAAACATGTGCGAGGATCGCTAGCATCACAGAAGGATGACTTCATGGCCCTGAGCTGTCATTCTGGGATTCTTTGACCTACGTCCTTGATTAGAGAGATATCCCTACAGAACACGCCACTTCTAGCACAGGAGAACGGACAAGTCTGGGCTGTAGCCAAAGAAGAACAAAAAGGCAAGGGACCTGACTAGACTGATCCTTGTAATGGCCTTTCTAACCGAAAAAGATCAGAGAAAAGCATGGAGCCTACATGAGCTGCTTAGTAACAACAAGACCCGTCTCATCCAAGCTGCTGCCTCAAACAGCATCCTGCCGCTTCACCCAGCTCGCATGCGCGGATAGGTTCTGGGACACTGCAGTATAAGAGCCAAACGATTCTGCTCATAGAGTCTCATGCAACTTGAGAGCCGCGGTCTGGGACCAAAGCTCAAGGCTGGGACGAAAGCTCAATAGCGGTCAGGACTGGTGACACAGGACGTGAAGAGACAGACGATATACAACCAGAAGAGCACGCAGCCCAGCCCTGCCCATGAAAAAAACTGCGACCATCCTACCGAAAGCCTCCTAACGAAACACCCTCCAAGATCCCTCCAAGACCGCGCAAGAGCCCCTCGAGATCCCCTCAAGATCCCACCCAAGATCCCCACCAAGAGCCCCCAAGACCCCCGAACATCCCCCCAAGATCTGCCCAAGATTCCCCCAAAACCGCCCCAGCATCACCTACAGGATCTAGCCCGAAAAGGCCTGCCACGGCAACACCCTAAAATCCGCCTGTCGGTGCAGGACGGCTGCAAAAACCAGCCAAAATTGGCACCCCCCCCTTCTCCCCCGGGATCCCAGGCTCACTCCGAGGAGCTTTCGTGATTTTTCCAAGCTTGCTTTAGAGCGAACGAAGAGATGATATGCATGAGCAGGGCAGAAGATAGTTTAGCCGCGTGAGGTGGACTGATTATCTACCATTTTTGCTCTACGTATTCGTCCCGAGGTATTGTTTATGCTCTTGCGTAGGGAACTTTTATGGAGGCTTGCGCGGATATTTCTGTCTCAGCTGACGGACAACATGCATGAATCCTGGGCGAAAATTGGAAGAATTCTCCGAGGTAAGCAATAGATCCTACGACAGCATTGGCAGTGCCATGCCACGCTGACTTGGAATCTTGAAGCTACTAAATCCGAGTTGCTGGAATGATTCAAGAACGCAGCAACCATGTGAGCTTATGGCCGTGCAATAAGGTTGAGAATGTCCGTAGGAGGCCTATGGCGGCCTGTGTAAATGCCTCTGCATGGAGGCATTCAACTCCAAAGCCTTTCTTTTGAGAAATCCTCTACTGTTCGCGTAAAGGAGCCATGGAACTCCGATGAGACATGTGACTTTTCTGCTTTTGGGGTCATGCGCAAACTTTTTGTTGAACACTCAGGATGCATACCCCAAGTGCCACGACCTATGAAGCAAAAGGAACGAGATGGCCTGAATAAATGTCCCATAGCCGCATCGCCAAGTAGGACTGGTATCACGGTATCACTGGTATTACGTCCCCCCATGTTCTCCATGATCCATGTTGAAGCATAACGCTGTAGAATACCAGATGCGGCACACGTCTAGGTTCAGGGAAACAACAGCTTAAATTTGGGACATTTGAGATTGTTACCCGGGTGTACCGCACACCTGGGGAAATGAACTCCGCAAACACAAGCACCTATGTCCCCAGAGCTTTCTGGCAAAAAATACATCAAACTACAACAGTTCACTACGACCATGCAGTGTAACACTATACCTCGCTGCCAGATTCGCTGGCGGAGTCTTATACATGTGCCTTTGCAACCATGTGGGAAATGAGATGTTGTGTAACATAACCCAAAAGAACATTCCCGGATGGAATATTCCCGGATGGAATATTGCAAGAACCTCTCCTGAGCATTCCATAGCAGCCAGGCTGAAGAAACAATCTAGCGGACAGAATTATCTCTTCTGTGCTGGCAGATAAACATTCTGAGGCAGACAAAACTAGTCCCAAGAATCCCTTGAAGCGGATTGCCTTCTTTCCTTATAACCTTGCCTGAAATCCTGCACACACTGAGATGCGTTTTGTCCATCGGGGTTGCTCATCTGTAGGCTTACAAGTGGAAATCTACCACAAAATGCCATGGAACTTCCTCAACAAGGCTCATGATGGCAGGGGTTTGCGGTGAGCTTCCGCGGCATTTTCTGTTTCTTCTGTAGTGTGGTTCCCAGCGACTAGGAGCAGGTGAGGCGAGGCAGGATTTCTCTGTGGCGTTCAAAAGGCGCGTATGTACTCACAAACGGTCTTTGGTCTTTGCACTCACGAAATCCTAAATGAGACTACAACCTGAGCATGCGCGCTCATGCCAAACTTGGGATATGCTGTTCCATAGGTCCCACACAACCTTATACGTCATCTGATTTCATATGTGGGTGCCGCTTGCTGACTCCAGGGTTCCATGGAAGGCGCCCTGACTTGCGAGTGGGCTATGCAGCCTCCTGATGTGCTTCATCCTCCCTAGGAGCATTTGTACGACTTTACCAAAACAAGTTGCAGATGGGATCTCTTTTTCTGGGGCACAGCCTAGCAAGAGCCAGTCACCACAGGTCTGTCAGTGGTTTTGCCATCATCGCAGCAAACTGCTCGTTGCGAACCTGACAATGTTGGTTTGGGGGGCCCATCTTAGCGACTTAGCCACATCTATTTCGAGCCTGGCCCACACAAAAATGTCCTAGCCAGAGCACAGCTATCGTGATAGAGGCCCAGGATCTGGTTGCTACTAGGCTTGGATGGCTCAGAAAGCTAGACCTCGCTCCCACAGATTGGACCTGACCCCAAAACCTAGAAAGACCAATAAATTGCCGTTGTTTGTGTTCGGATTCGAATCAAGCGTGGGATCACAGTTTGCAGAAGCTATAGTTTCAGCATGCTGGTAACATGATTCTGGGACTTTCATGTTTGGGCTCTTTTGCCACTTGCATGGCACATGGCCAGCACGGGGCCTCAATCCAGCTACATACGAAATGGCCATTCACAGTCAAGCAACGTACAGGTCAGTACATGGCTTAGTGGTTTGGGGTGTTGGGGCCTCTGCATCTTAGGTTTCCGAGGTTATTCGGTCTCGATGCAACGTTAGGGAACCCAGAGACCTAACAACCAAGGCTTGGCTGGGTACTGTTCTACCAAGCCTGTACACATCTCATACGTCCACATGCCCCTCATGCAAGGCTACGCCCGAGGGAAACTGATCAGCGCAAGACAGCCTTGCTATAGGACTTCTTCTGAGCGCCTTGTGCTACCGCTTATACGAGCTGTAAATGGTGTATGCGTGCGACGAGTTCAGGTTGGAGCCCAGGCTATGTTTGGGGGCTCGCGGGAACAAGATTACAGTGCTCCTGCATTCGTGGGAATCGAAACTGCATTAAACGTTTGTCAATGAGCTGCGACAGTAACATCAGCAGTGATATGAAATAAGCAAAGAGGGGCATGCATGCTTCTCCAAAAACATCATGCAAGCAGCGCACAAAAAACAAGAATTCTGGGCTTCCTGGTTGTACCTGCTCCTCTTTGCAGCTGAAGAACGGGACGGGATTCTAAGTGAGGACGGCGGATCCCTACGGATAGGCCCGCTTCAAAACAGGCGTGTAATCACACATCGCTAGCGGTGCACCATCACAGGGGCGCAAGTCACGCGGGCGTGTTTCTTCACATGTCGCGTCTCCTTGACAATCTATTTTCAGAGGAAACTTCGGGAGAAAGCGCCGCCATGGATGGGATGGCCTTGAAGTACTCTTCAAGAAGCTCCTTGTCTTCCGGTGGCAGCACGGCTCCAGGGCCCTCATCCTCTGAGCGCACCCAGCATGATTGGGCGACTCTGGGCTCCCTTTGAACAGATTTTCTATGCAGCGAAATTCAATGTTCAAATAATTGGATTTCGAGACGTTTGGGGTGCTTGAAGGGCGCCTTTTGAAAGGCTTCTTAGAGAAAGCGAAAGCCCTAAGTAGCATTGCCTTGCATACTTGACGGTGACTGGAGAACTGAATATCAGTTCAATACTGTTCCCAGATCCTAGACAAGCATCATTGTAGTAAGGGATTACAATAGTACCCCCCCCAAAGGTACCCCCCCAAGATTTAGAACCCCCTTTTCAGCTTTGTTAAGCCCCATATAGTCCTTATTAGCTCCTTTAATCCTGGGGGGGGTACCTTGGGGGGGGTACTATTGTAATCCCTTATGTAGAGATTCACCCGCTGCTCTCCCTTAAAGAACAGACAGACTGGTACGTAGTGTGCTGGAGCACACAAGATCCGTTGAGGATCCTTTGAAGAAAGCACAGAAGGCTACATTTTCAAATCGGAGCATAAAGTGGCACCCGGAGTTTCAAGGTGATGATCAGGAACATGGCTCTGTACCAATGTCTTGGTCCAAACCCAACACTCCAGGAGCAGCTTCACAAGACATGGAGGACCCTCTTAACTACTCCCTAGAAAATAGAACCACAAGGGGACAAATAGTGTTGAGAAATGCCAACCACGACCCTAAGTAAGCTAGGATTGGCGGGGTTCCCTTTCCAGGAACAATTCCTTTTATAGATCATGGGGAACGTAGGACTTTAAACTCCAGGCTGCTTCCAGTTGAAAGTCCATCACATCCTCCAGGCTCAGCTTTTTGAGGTCAGGAAGATAAACATCTTTCTCCTTGGTTTCATACGGCAGGATTCACAGTAGAGGGACATCAACAAGAGCTGATTTACGGAAACTATCCAGGACCAGATTTGTGTCTTCGAGAAAAAGACGGCTCTTGGACTTAGCTTTGGTTTGCTTGCACCATCAACCTCCTCTTCCCCGCCAGAATCATAAGGTCAACTGGAAGCCAATCAAGCCTGAACCACATCCTTGGCTCTGCCTTGGGTTGTCCATGAACAAGTCCTCGTGGAGGCCATCTTTCTCATGATCATGACGATACACAAATGTCAAATTGACAGTCCTGACCATCCAAACAATGCGATGAGTTTTGAATTTCCAAGATACATCCTGTGATCTGGGTTCCCTCGTAAGTGCTCAACCAGGTCCGGATCAGCCTGCCAACCGTAATTCCACACCCAAGACAGCCCCTCGGGAAAAAAAATCTCGCGTCACTCTAGTGCCGCGTGCAAACACTTACACAGGCCCCGGCGTGACAACACCGACACCAGAGCAGCAGCTCAGAATACCGAAGGTCTGCAATCCCGCCAAAAAGGTCTGAAGTCCCTTGCCCTGCATTGCAGACCCCAACTCATGTAAAATGTGCTACAGGTGCTGGATTACGGCCGTCCCACAGCCTTGGAACCAGGCTGAAGCCCAGTCAGAACACATTTAAGCCAACATGGACTTTCGTAAAAGTTGTGAATCCATGTTGGGTTCCATAGCCAAAAATCCCTTTGGTGGCGGATACACGGGCCGTGATTTTGAAAAATTAGAAAGCCCCAGATGTGCTAACGAAGCTCAGGACATCAAGATCCCTAATTGAGTTCATAAGCTACCGCTACTAACACCACAGATGACAAGCTCGACGGCCACAGAAATCTGCCTTTCAGAGGTTGGGATGGGTTGCCCAAAAATCCTGCATTCCGTCATCCAGTCCAGTGTCCAAGCCCAAGAACTCAAAGATTCTGCGGACCGTTCCTTCTGTATCTTCCACAAGATCCTGCAAGATCCGGACTGCTCTCAAGTCCAGATCTAGGTCGTTTGGAGTTTTGAAGCACTCATTACGCAATTTCTGCTCCTGATGAGCTAGCAACTAGGGGCTAAAAAAATCAGACTCATTATAAAGAAAAGCCAAAGTCCTATCTGGCCATGAGACTCAAAGGGGGCAAAGTTGCTCACCCTGTACATTGAGGAGATCATCAGGTGCAAGGGTGCAGGGCAGCAAAGGCCGGCTAAAGACTCGAAAGCGCTCAAGTTCGAGGAGCTTTTCTGAGGTTTGCCGATTAGGTTCTGCTGGGTTGCTTGCAGAACTGAACCTGAAGCTTCAAAAACGAGGTCATGCACGTATATGTTAGGCTTATAGGCTTATATAATGGTTTATAGCAATCGGATGACTGAGCGTTCCCGGGATTATTTTGGAACAGATGCCTGTCGGGATACTTACCCTCCCCCTTCTCACTCCTCAAGTTCTTACGCGCAAGGGGACCGAGGTTCCAACATAGTTTCGCACAACAGTCCTGTTGCTTTCTGGGAACCCGCAAGCCGAAGTAAACAGCCGCATCTAGGGCAGGTTTGCTTGAACTGGGCATCTGGAAATGTGTACCCGGCATGAAGCCCCAGGACTACGCTCGTATCCAAAGTGGGGGCAAGCCTAAACTGCCTAAACCATTCCATGCATGTGAGCCTCAAAGGAATGACAAGAGATGTTGAGAACGCCAGGTCTTTGAAGACGTTTGCACTTGAGGAAGGCTGTCGTCCAACGGGGATTTCCCACTGCGGGAATCATTTGCACAGGCAAATCTACACTGCCCGCGGATGCCCGCGGGGAGTGCCAAGCCAGCCAAGATCCCAGATGGAGAGAGTTCTTCAGGCGTCCACTGCCAGGTTTGGAAGTTCACTGGGGTGATTGACAATTGAATGCCTGCCGCACTTGACATCAGAACCCTTTGACCTGCAGTGCATGTCGAGGTTTTTCACTTTATCCTGGGAAGGTTTGCTTATAGGCGTCTGAAGGGATTCTTGTGCCTCTGTCTGCAGAAAACGCTGTCGATTTCTCTGCATCAGTCATGGCATCTTTCAGAATTGAAATGCTAGCTTTAGTAAGTAGAGTATCCTCAAACATCGAGGGTCCTGAATTCTGCGCCGAGTGTTCAGGCGTCCTGTGGGACCCACAATATTTGTAAGAAGTGCATGGAGGTGGGAATGTGTCTCACGTCTGGCACATGTGCCCCGCCAACATCTATCCCATCACAACACGCAACATCATGACTGTAATGGCCATCCTAACATGGATCAGCATGACACTTAGAATGCTGATATCCTGAGGGCTGCCCTTGCATAATTTGAGGAGCCCGCATCCCCGCAATGCAGCCGCTGAAAAGAACCCCACATAGCCTGAACTGGCCAACATGCTGCCACAACATGCAACGCCGCAAAACGCTGAAGCTGTTGAACGCACTACACTCGCTCCTTGAACCTGATGACCAGGATGTTATGTGAGTCGAATCGCGCGCGGAAGGCTTGCAGGATCTCTGCATAATGATAGCCACGCAGCCTGACAAGAAACATTAATGGGATCTGTGACAAGAAGAAGCAACAGGCAGTAAAACTGACTCCGAGAAGTCTCGGTCTAGAGAGCTCCACACTCTTGATTGTTATAATTCCCAAGCCTCATGCTCAGGAATGACATCTACCATGGGAGGGACAAGGCCCTCTTGGGGCATCTATTAATCTAAATTTTCGGAGGCTCTATCCATGTCAACATCTATCGTCTATTGGCTCATCCTGCCCCTGCGGGACCCTCAACCCATGCGCACAGATCTATATTCGAGAGAACACCTCGAAGAAGAATCTTTCATGAGCCACAAACAGTAGCATCTTTTTCGATCCTTGCAGTACGGAGTAAGTGGGAGCTCAGAACTAGAAAAAAGTCAAAAAAAAAACGCAAGCCAGAGGGCAGTGAGGCTGTAACGCACTCCCCCCAACGGTCTGGGAGGCGCGGGCAGCAACCAGCATCGAGCTCCTGCACTTACAAGCTTGCTGGGGGTAGGAAAAGTATATTAGGGAATATATTGAGGCATGTGGAGAATACGAGGTTACAACAAAAACTGTTACGGTTCTACTTGAAGGTTCATGCGAGTGAGTGGTATTCACAGAGTTTAGAGGGGGATGTGAGGATGTCACACTAGGTGGAAAAATTGAAGCATGGAACTGAGTCTGAGGCCGGCACATGTGGTTGAAAAAACATGTTGGCCTTGGTAATCTTACAAAACCAGGACCTTCCCAACCTTGCGTGTCCTGTTTATGCAAGCACAGGTCAGCCAGTGGATGGCAAAGTCTCTCCGGAAATCATTGGCTACATGTGGTAGCTCATTTGAGGATTGGGCTTAGCATGAGGGGTCACGCTGATCACATGCTAAAGACGCTTTATGCAGTGATGCATGCTAAATTGCTTTGATGTTCACGGCGCTGTATTCCTGCCTGACCTTTGAACCTTCCAACCGCACCATTGAAGCTACGGATGTCAGTTTGCACAGCATCTGATGCGCAAGAGTTTCGGCATCTCGTCGGCTGCACACTCTAAGTTGCAATCTGTCCAGGAAGACATGTAAGCGGTTGTGCATGTCATGTGCGCTGCTCTTGTTGATGCAGAAAAGCTGTTGGATCCCAGCGAACAGACTATTGCCTTAAATGCTCTCTCGTGATGGCAAGACGCCAGCAGCATACACAAAGAGGCATTCCTTTCCTTGCCTTGGGTCTCACGACTAATATCAAATTTGGCACTGCGCGCACTTGAGGCAGACGAAATGCAGAAGGAAGCTTCGTGCAAAACGTTCTCAAACAGACCTGCTTCTGAGGGAATTTGCCATTTAGGCCTGCGGTCTGAGTGTCTGATGGTGTTAAAACATGTACGAGCCTTTTGTGGACTGTTGGAGCCGCCTCTCTGACTGCACAATAGTCAATAGACCTTCTACGTGACCTGTACCTGGTGTAGAATGTAGATCTCCAAATCTGACAAAGTCAATGTAGCCAAGAGATCCGTGGTCTTGGAGTTTGAAGCCAAGCAAATCTTCTTGCAGTTTGTTCCACGTTTGTCACATTTGTCTGCTAACTGAAGCTATTTGCGCGAGCCTTGATCACCATTGCTTCTGCTGCTATTGTTGCTGGCAGGTGATTTCTGCAATGCTGTGGACTGTGGAGCCTTTTGAGCCGTCCGTGATGTGGAACAGACTCGTGACGCAGGCCTTTCAGAACCAAATGGCTGCGAAGTAACTAGCAGCACGCGTCTTTGGTATTTGCACAGCAATATTGCACTTCTGCGCTACGAGTCGCACTTCAGCAAGATGCTGCGGACAGCTGGATGGACATTCTCGAGGGAGTCGCTGGGACTGCTCTTGGATGCTCTTGGTTAGCGTGGAGGAAGCCGTGCTTCCAATCCTGGTGACGGGATTGGTCTGGCTCTGCACGCGGCAGCAACATAAGCTCCTGGTGGCAGCGCAGGCTCACCTGCTGAGGTCTCGCAACTCCGGCTGCGAATGGCAAGGTCTCAGGCTCAACCGAGGCACCGTGTTCAGAAACTGCACCCGTCAGTGGCAGAGGGAAAGACAAGCAAGTGGCGAACACTTCGTCGTGCAGGTTCGTCTATGTAACCATGTAAAAACGGTACATGTTGGGCTTGCATGTCCAGGGCTAGCACTCACACCCTAAATCCTAAACCCTAGCCCTAAACCCTAAACCCTTAACCACGAGTACTCACTGGCGAGCGTGTGCTTGTCCAACATGGTTTTTCTTCTGGCATGCTTTCATGTTGATTCTGGGGGAAGAGTTTGGGTGGCTGTTGGCCTCTCTCCATCTGTCCCTCTATGACTTATACCCTTTCAATTCTTGATTTGGGATTATTTGTACTTCGCGTGGGGCATAGACTGGTAACAAATCGAAAAAAGTTGTACAACGTGCCCGAAACTAACCCCCTTGCGAGGAGTATGTGGGCAGCTTTGTAAGACTGCTGGGTACATCTTGGGTGACACGTTTTCATGGAGCTACAAAAGAATTGAAAAAAGAGTGACGTGATTGCAGCATCCTCATACCCTGGGGTGTCTTAAGGATTTCTTAAAGTCTTAGAGTCCAGGTTCAGCATCCAGTTCCTGCGCCATGCGCATCTCCTCATTCAGCAGGCCAGTTGCCTTCCAAGAACACTCCTGGGAAGGCACCATGAGCATGATCACGCGGGCTCCATAGGGGCTTGCAAGGGCCGTTGTAAAGATTCCGGAAGGTTTATGGGGATTCTTGTAGGGATCTTTCAAAGGCTTGCAGAGATTACCACTAAGTGGCGATGCTGAAGTATCTCGAAGCACTATGACTAAGACCCCCTGCTGGCCGTAGACCCCTCCCCAACAGGACACAACATTCTCCAAGACAGAGAGTCGAGAAGGAAGGTATGTTTGGTCGGGAAGGAAAAGGGCTGTGGTCAGCAGCTACTGTATCTTCCGTCAAGCCCAAGGATCTGGAATTGTAAACGGCATGGGCCATCGTCCACCCCTAAAATGACTGAGACATATGCATGTTGATTGGCGCTGACTTCCAATTCCTCTACCCATCTCTCCCCTAAGCCCTAAACCCAAATCCGTCAGAAGCTCCAGGTTGTAGAAGTCCCGGAAGGTCATTCCATATTCTCCGCGTCCTTTGATGCGTCTTCTCCTGAGCTTCAAGTCCATTCGTTTAAGGGTTTGGAGTAGAGGGCTTTTATCCAGGGATGCTAGTTGAGAGCAAGGGTTATGGGGATCATTATATCACACAGGGGGTATGTAGCGCTTGCTATGCTGACAGCACTGCACCTTTCTATCCACAACCTAAAGTGGAAGGCAGTGTAGCCCAGACAAGTCCATTTAGCAAATGTCAAGCTAGCTCACCATTTTTAATGTTGGCTGGCCGGCCCACGCGGTCTCTAGACTCTAGACATCATTACATGAAGCACTTCAACGCTCTGCCAATGTTGCCGCTGAAGATCTAAGCAGGAATCCCATGCAACCCATGCAATGGAAGTTTGATTACCCTGGGCAGGTTGGGTGAGATCCTTCTTCAGCACGCTGCTTTGCAGCTTCGAGTTTCAGGCAACGTAGCGCTTAGGCCAGCACATGCCAGCGCCAAAGCATTCTGGAGTTTGCAAAAAGTCTCCCCTCCTGCATAATCCCCAAATAAGAAATGTAAAGACCATGGGTGGGTCATAGCCGAACGACCACAAAGGTACCTGTGCCTGTCTATGAGGGATTTCCCATTTCGGCCGAACAGCACCCTACACCCCAAACCCTAAGCCAGGCCCAATATACAAAGGTGTGCTCCAGAGATTGCAGGTTGCATTGGCACATCGCATGCTTGGGTGCGGGAGAAGGATTTCTATTCAAGTGCCAGGAACGAAAGGCGGTGTTGGCACTGTATATGGGGCAACTCACACCCCGTTGATTGCCCGCAATGACGAGCTACTCCACTCCCTAAACAATATTCAACACGCTGCTGGATCGTGAGCCAGCGAACTTGTCAACAAAAATACCTCTAAATCCTGATGCCCAAAGTTTCAAAGGCAGCAAATCTTTGGAATCATCCTCTACCCGCCCCCAGAAACACTACATTTCCAGAATTGACAAAAGCTTTCAAAGACGTGCTTCATCTTGTAAAGTGAGAAGGCAGCCGCACACGGCTCTCCTTATTTCTGACAAACAAGGGTTTAGTCTAGGAATGATGCCGAACTGCTGCTCCTTGCTAATGATCTCCTATAACAGGGGCAGCACAAGGGTCTCGCTATTCACAAAAGGGTGTCTACAACAGCAGGCCATTGAATGAAATTGGACAGTCGAGGAAAGTACATTAGATTTCACGTTACAGCCTAGGATATCCTGCCCCTCTTCCACAAGTTGTCCAGACTTACAACTGCCTGCTGGCTCCGTACCGTTTGTGGTAAATGTGCGAAAGGTTTCCGTCAAAATGCTTCCCATATGGGCGCTTGTCTAGATTAATGCCTGCTGAAGTTTTTGGGTACACAAAAACGGTGGACCTTTCGACATGGGACCGTGACCTTAGTTTGGGCTCATTACCCAGGAACTCTATCCCCTTGGCAATCACGCAGCTTCTATTTTGTACTCGAAAGATTTGTCTCGGAGGCCTTGTTCCTAGTAAAAGCTGGAATATCCCAATTTGTTTCCCGTCTAGGCAAACCTTGTTCGCAATATGCAAGTTGAAGACATGAAAGCCCGCGATTCGGCATGAGAGGATGATCTTGGCATTCGGCGTCGCTTGCTTGTAGAGAGCAGATGCAAGCTCCGGCTGAAACGAGGCGGTGGCGTCGGAGTCAAACCTGTAACGCTGCTCCTCTTGGTATTGAATATTTCTTGAGGTAGCTGAACATACTGAAGAACACTCTTAACTGAGGAAGCGGGGGCTATGCTTGATACCACACGACTAGGGACTACTTCATCTACTTCTCAAAGAGCGGGAGAAAGGCACTCTCTTTGCAAAACCTATATACATTGCAACTTGCACACATTGCACTTCTTCCTATTATTCTCTAACAGGTAAGTAAGACAAACAATACAACACGATTCAAACATAGTTTTGATGGTCAAGGCTAGTAACAGCGTTAGTGGTGCTACATTGACATAAAACAATGCAAAGCCCTGAGAACAGAGCCCAGAAGCGCAAGGCACCCAGCCGGACACCTTGGTCCATCATGGTCCGTTCATGGCGGTGTCTTTACACTGTAGATGATCAGTAGAAGAACAGCTGTAGCAAACCCCAGTAACAAAATCCGCATATTGGCAAGGAGAAGCACGACACGAAAAAAAAAAAATGAACAACAAGGATACTGAGAATGGCAGTTATGTTGCCATCATGACTGCTTGTGAAGCCCGACTACCGTGAGATATACATTGCAAAGAGAGGCAACCATGACTAGAGGAGTCCCGAATTACAACATCAAAGGAGGACTGTAACTGTAACTGTCATCCTACTGCCGGAAGGATGCTCCGCATAAGTCGGGGTATCCCAACCCGAAGTGGCTCCATTCTAATCCTTACCGACTTACTGGTGCCGGTCAGGGTGCCGATGGCAATGGAAGACTATTTCCTGGGGCCTGGCTACGTCTCAAGTGATCACGTGAGAGGGCTAAACAAAAGCTCGCACCCCGCTGCAGGACCACGGCAACTGCATGCAGTGTTAAGCGCATACTGAGGCAGTTGTCTGCGAGCACGGGTCTTAAGCGACGAGGCTGAAGCTAGAAAGGGAAACACTCAGCACGCAGGAAGCTTTCATCGCAACCCAGGGCATTTAATATGTATTCTGGGGCAGGGTCTGCTTTTGGAGTGATTTGCAGTGGTGTTGGAGAACACTGGACATTTTGAATGGGTGGCGTTGGAAAGCTCTTGCTATGGTCCCTTAGAATTCGGTCTCTTCGCATGGTGGTTTTGGAATGGTCGTATTGGAGGGCTTTTGGGATGGTCCCTCGGAATGGCGATCTTGGAATGGTGACGTTGGAAGGCTCTTGGAATGCTCTGGAAATGGTGGTGTTGGAGGACTCTTGGAATGCTCTTGCAATGGTGCTCTTGGAAGGGCGCTCTTGGAAAGCTCCCGGTCACAATCATGTAATTGGATCATAACCGGTACCCTGACGAGTCTAAACCATAAGCGCGTCATAACACCATAAACGGCCTTTGTTTCTTCGCCCACTACGAAATGTCTGACTCCTTTCTGGTGCCTTATACCTTGAAATTTCGTAGTGGTCACAGCTAAGTATACTGATTTGGGCCCTTGTGGTTATTGTAGCCTCATCCTCGGGAAAATAGTCCTGGTTTACTAGTCTGACCGGGTCTTTTCTGGCTCTTTGTAAGTTGAAAATTTCGAAATAGGCATAGCTAAATGGTATCATTTGGCCATTTCTGGTTCCTTGTACCTTGAAAGTTGGAAGTAGCCATGCCCATTTAGTATCATTTGGCCTCTCCTCATTCCTTGCCATGCATAACCTTAAATTTTGGGAATACTCATAGCAAAGCATTACGATTCGGCCCCTTCTAATTCCTTGTATCCTAAAATTCCGGAATAGTCAGAGGTAAGTATTATGCTTTGGCCTTCGGTGGTTCTTTGTAGCATCATATCCGGGAATAGTCATACCTAGGTATTATGACCAGGCACCGTTTTATTCTTCTCATACCTTGAATTTTGATATTGTCATAGTCACACATTATGACTTGGGCATTTCTGGTTCCGTATACCCTGAAGTGATTCCAGGATGTTCATGTTGCAGGTGGCCGCTTTCATGACGTCTTGGGTGTGCTAATGGCTTCGCAATGCAAGTCGCGTCGCCAATGCAAACTGCTGCAGACGATGTTGATGCCAGACACTGCTAGCCTATGTCCCCCAGGCCATCACTGCATTATATACCTTCAAATCATGGCTATGTGATGACACCTTCGTTGCAGTTGAACCCTAGAGGGAGGGGGGCTTAGGAGGGGGGTGCAAACCCCCGTTTCCCTGCCTTCGAATTACTTATAAATCATAGCCACAAGGTAGGCGGGAGGGCGGCGGGTGGGGGCCTTCGGATGCCCCTAAAAAGATTGAAGTTTCACAGGAGTGGGCCCCTGACATGCCGATCCACCGAACATTCTATGGTAAACCTGAACTCCAGCTGAGTCCACATAGGACTGGCTTTCGTGATAAGGATCCCCAAAGGTCCCTTATATGTTTGAGAACCGCACATATTCAGGCCCCAGGCACTCAAGCCACGTGGGAAAAAGGGATCGAAATCTCCAGCATGAAAGGCGGCTCCCACACATACCCGTCAGAAATCGGTTCTCCTTTGTGGGAGTTTTCTCATCCCTTAAACCCTGTCGAACCCTGAACTGCACATCAGCTCTCCTTCAAGAACGGCTTCTTGACAGAAGGGTGCATGCTCAGATAAGAGTACCTGGGTTTCTTTATAAGCTTTATGAATGTCTTTGAAGGTAAAGGGAGTGAATACGTACACGTCAACCTACCCTACCACATGATGCTAGGCAAACGGGTCTACTTCTTTTCTGAAACGCCCATTGGTGGCACACAGACTTCGTGGATTGGACTACCATGCGCACCCTTGTGTGATCAAGGGTTGAACCCTGACTGGTGCCATGCGGGACCTTATCTTCGGGTACAAAGCCTTGGGTGTAGAAAAAGGGCATATGAGACACCTGACGAGGGACAGTGCGCTTGTTCCAGACTTGGCTGCACCAACTATGTAGACGTCTGGCAAACGTCGTGCCGGGAACGTCAGAAACCTCCAAAACCGCTGCAGGGTCATCCAGTGGGCACCTGGGTCAGTGCAGGGGTATCGATTTGCGAACTACAGCGATGTGTCTCGTAAACCGTTGCTGGAGTGCTTTGGGATAATTCTACTGTTGAATCATGCATGTGATATCCCAAAAGGCCTCCTACAAGCCTGGAGAAATCAAGCTCAAGGAGAGCTGGTGTTTGAACAACTGGCTGTACGCGAGGACTTTGAACTTGGATTGTTCTAGCTTCAGAAGATCAACAGCATGTGCAAATTTACCAACATGAACTCCAGGGGCTGAGCATCTGCCAGTGTGCCGGGTACAGGCCGCGGAGGCCAGGGAATGCTCGAAATTGCCAGGCCCAAATCCACCAATGAAACACGGCATATCCAAAGAAGCTCAAGCCTGCTGCTATGCCCACCGCAGCATTGGGAGGTACCTTGATGATTGTAGTGGATACATTGAGTCGTACTAATAGGGAAGGCTACGGAGGGGATAGGAATATAACAGGGGGCACGTAGGGCTCTCAGGACTAGGCTGAACTGGATCGTACCAAAACCATAGGCTGAGGACGCTGAGCGGTGGGGTCCATCCAGCACACTGGGGTTGAGGGTCAACTGCATTGATTGGTCTTTCCGAAAGGAAGGTGAACGCTCAAAACGGTTACCAACATGATGCCAGGCACGCAGAGGGACGATTGAAATGAGACCATGGCGAATGGCGAGAGGGTCATCAAGCAGTTCTACTATCGCCCATAAATCTTCGCACTGTCATATTCGCGGTATTTGTGTCTGTCATTCGCATCTTTGGCTCTTGTTATTGTAATTTCACAATGATCACTATGACCGCATATAACCCAAGACGATGGTTCACAGACAAGGTTGAGAGGTACAGGAATTCTGCATTGTACATATCAACTAGCGATTGCACTTTTACGCGCGGCGCGGGAACAGAGAAAACGCACAAGGTTGAAGGTTGAAGGGCAGGGGTCTTGTGCGTGGCCGGGACCAGTAGTGCACGGCATCGGAGAAGCACATGATCTGATGAAGGGTCTTACGAGTGTCTCAGGGGGCACTGCTTAGAGGTTGATGCGACGGAGTCCCTAATTCTTTTTCGAGGAAAAAAAGTAGATATGCACGGGTTATCTGGTTAATTAAGTTCAAGTGAATGTCCAAGACAACGCCGGCTGCTCAATGCAAGGAAGGGTTGAACGGTTTCCTTTCCGTAGAAAATTGCTGCAACACAGCGTGTAGCATTCTGACGTGCTGGCAGCATGATATGATGCCCGGACATCCATTCCTGTTTGCTGGTCCAGCAAATGCAGTTGGATGGGGACATAAATGAAGTTCTAGCCTCCATGCTCAGGACAAGTTGAACATGAACAAGAATGTGGTTCAGGAATGGGCGTTCTTGCCAGTGAATTTAGAATCTCCATGGCAATCAAGTGAGCGGGCAGGATGACGATGATGACGATGACAAGGAGCACAAAACCATTGGTTCGCGACCAGACCATGACTGTGGCCATGTCATGTTGATTCGAGCCCTTCTCGCCATTCTACTCGTGCTGAAGGAACTCCAACCCGTCATCGGCTCATCAGCACTACCCTCTTCAGACGAACTCCCTGCCTCGTGGTAGCAGGGAAGGAAGGAATGCCAAGCATCTCTTGTGAGTTCCCTTAAAGGCCCCTAAAAACCATTCCTTCATCCCCTGCGGCCCTACCAACAAGAGGCAAGCTTCAGGGCAGGACAGGAGTATGATCCTAACTGAATTTATTGCTGCTTCCAGCTCGAACTCAAGCAGGGCCTGCTATCGATCTCAAACCTCGAAGCCGCAGACCCTGACCTGAACCCGAAACCCCATTCAACAGTCCTTCAGAATTCCTTTTGATATCACGACAGCAAGAACCCTTTTTATCTTCACGCTCTCTGCGACAAGGGCCAGCAGACCTCCCTCGCTGTCTTCGCTCACACAAGGGGCTTCGAAAGGTGGATGCAAGAGTAGGATATCAGGTCTATTCTAACCGATCTTCCCGAATGAGTATATCTACACCACGGAACCATACTTACCCCATATCTTACACATGATCGTGCACTCCATTCCGCTGTGGCATGCTGTATCTTTCGTGCCCACTTGCAGCCGTGGGTTGAAGGCATGGCACGCACATCACTCGTGAAGGTAAAGTAACTGTCGATGATTGAAATTATCCACGTCCTACACCTCGGCAACAGATAATGCTATGACATGCTATGACCTACGTTCGGACCTACGTTGCTATAGCATTTTGCTTTGCTACAAAACACAGCAAAAGCTACACAGATACCCTATCCTAGCTCTGCAGGCCTTCTTACTGCACCATCCTAAGCTGCTTAGATGGTGTTACATGGTATTGCATTCTATGGCACTGTATCACGTTCTAGTCACAAATTTCATGTCACTAAATGATTCACCCTCTATCCCGTACAAGCTACATGATGGTCTTTGAAGTTGGCGGGCTGTTGGAGGGCTGTTGAGGGACAATGGCTTGAGACCTCACATCGCTTTGCTACAACCAATTCGGCTCCAAAGTCATAGTGGCGTTGCTAACAATCTCGTACTGCTGCATGACATCGAAATAACCCATAACAAAATGATGGACGTCGGCTAATACTAGCATACGGCCATCATGGAACCCTGGAATCATGGAGCGTTGCTTTAGGGATTAGGCTTCTGAAGTACTTGGGCTCATTGGATAAAAACAAGCAGTAGCTCGCTAGCTACACAGTAGCTGCTAGCTTTCATCATTCATCTACTGCTGTTACATGCCTAAATACAAAGGTCAATGCCGCGGGGCAAGAGTGCCCACTGTAGGCATCCGATACAAGATATGAAGCTGTGAATATGAGATTCCAAGCAAAGTCTAACTAGCTCAGAGAAGGAACTGACACAGGCAATCCCTACCCTTAGCTCCCAAACCCACGCAACACTCAAGTCTAAACACCTGACTCGACATCACCGGACCTGCCGTCCCTAGAGCCCTGAATCTGAGACTACAGTCCACCTTCTTGCCTCCTCGATGTGCAGAAGGCCTATCATGACCCTTACAGTAGCTCGAATATCCAGCTAATATTAGAGTTCACTCCCGAGTCTACATGTCCTCAGGAGCGGACCCTGCCGTTCCTTAAACCAAGTCTCATGCGAGAGCCTGTACGGGCCATCAAGCATGCAGACTCACAAATATGGCAATAGTGCTTTCGGGGGGGCCGATTGGAACTGCTCTGTACTTTTCTCCAAGAGGGACGTTCAAAAGCTCGCGCTGATAAATGCGCACATTCTGCGATGTCACGATGTCAGTGCCTGGAGAGTGGCAGCCCGGCTTGTACGAAGCAGTCGCGACACGAGTCCATGGTAACATTGAACTCAAGAAGTTTTTTCCTGAAAATTCGAACGGCTTCCTGGTAGACCATGCCGTCGATCTCATCATGAAACCTGGATGCCCGCCAACACATGGCATAGAATTTACATGGTACCTGGATTGGTTATGGCTACAGGAATCTTCGGTTTTGGCAAATGTCTAACTTCTGTCATGCTCACGAGTAATGAGTAATTCGACTTCTCTCATTTCATTGCTCCACGCCCTGCGCAAAAATGGACCCCCAAGCCCAATCAGGATTAAAAAAACGCATCTTGACGAAATATGTGGAATGCATCCCACCACCAGCTGTAATACCCCAAGCAAAGCTAGTTCCTTGTAAATGTCCATGGAATCCTCTAATAGTTAAATCATCATCGCAACGTCCTGATTGGGATCCGAGCGCTTCCAAGAACAACAGATGATTGAAGGTTCGCAATCAACAGCCCCTTAATTCTCAGGACATTGGTGTAGAAGGATATGAGCGAGACAAGAACACACGCTCCGAATCCTCAAAATCAACTCGTCTTAGCTCTCAACGTCCCTTTGTCAATAAATGGTTGTTGCCCTTGACGGGGCACCATTATCGCTCAAATTTGCAGGTGTCTTCTCGAGGTTAACTATTCGAAGCTTTATCCAAGACACCCTTCCAATGGTGCTGTGTCATAAAGATCATCCGCGCTCTTGCCTGGGACAGAGCTTCGAGTGTCCTCGCATTTGCTGGCTGCTAGTGTATGTAGGACAATGTAGGAGGCGCGCTGTTCCTCAAACACTGTTCTCGCTGCTGCAGCCATCGTTGGTAATTGTGTTGCTTTCTGTTGTTGTTTCTCGTGTTTGTCGCTGCGTTGTGGTCGTTGTAGACAAGTTGGGGGGATCCTATCGCTTTTGGGAGTTTTTTGCGTAGGATACAAGAAAGGCATCGCTTTGGGGAGGTTCTGCCAAAACACAGTCGTGCTTACGTCGTAGACTGAGGGGTATCGCTTTTGGGAGGTCCTATGGCTTTTGGGGCTTTTTGCTTGATTCCTATGTCTCACGGCATTCCTTCTCTTCGTGCCTAAGAGTATTGACCAGTGCCCATATGCATAATATATGTATATATGCTACCCCCTCCATGGATCTGCCATTTTCAGGCGCTGGAAACACAAGATCTCATGACCCTGCTTCAAAACAGTGGAGCTGGCCCCTGGCTTCGAATGAAATTGTAAATACTCTGATGAAACTGTTATGATTTTGAAGCAGGCCATGGTTTCGATCACTGCCACTAGTTCTAGAAGTACAAAATGCCAAGACAGTGCTTGTAAAAAAAGTGCTGGCCCCACATTCTACGAATTTAAAGCAGCATGAAATACGCCAGAAGAGCTATTACATGTATAATTCAAATAACAGAAGTCGAGAGCTACTTCTATGACTTAGTTCATTTCATAACCCTGCTGAATGAATTTCATTCGAGTGAGAACCCTACAAACACATAAAATAAGTGAAATTCTGTACAAACAGACTATGCCCATTCCCCTATGGAAGGAAGTCTTTTGCCACTTCTACTACAACAAGACCACTCTTTGTTATCGACATCAAAAGAGAACAAGGTGAAAAATGAGCATAAAATGCAACTTTCTGTTTTTGCTGCAGTAAAGTTAAAGAGAAACATGGTTGACTTGAGGGAAACCAAATCTCCAGTTCAGGCATGGGGACTTAACGATCTCAACTAGGCGTCACCGCTAGAATTTAAACGAATCAAATGGCTCGAATTGGCTAAATGGTTTTGATTTGGGCTGAAATCAGCAGAACACATCATCCCTGGACCCAAGATCCTGGAAGTCCGTTGCCCGGCACTGACCACCGAACATAGAATGGAACAAGCCTGTTCGCAGTACAGGGCTGTGGGAATCTGCAGGTTGCCGAGTTTGGAGTTGCATGCATAGGGTTGAAATGGGGATGGCTTGCATGGAGCTTGCTTACTGAATCACACGGCGAATATGTCACCTGGGGCCTGGCTCTATGCATACACTGTGAAACAGTGTATATTTCAGGCAAAGGTTGGTGCTGCAAGAGAACGCAAATTGAACGGCCACCTATTTTTCTCTGATATAGCCTCTGCATGACTCTTGAAATCTCTGGGCTGGCACTTGTTTAATTTCTGAGCTTGATGGGCTTAGAAAACTGAATCTGAACATTGGGATTAAGGTGGCTTGTGGCTAGGTTGATTATGGGTTCAGACTATTCGCTTTGGGCAACAATGAAGTCTTTGAGAGTCGGGTGGCGTGTGGCAGTATCTCGGCGGAAGCCTACAGATCATGACAGCGGTCCAGTCTCCATATCCCTTGCTCTGTCTTACTTGGATGCCGGGAGGTGATAAATGGTCCGTCAGTTATCATGGTGCTGCGTCGACAGACATCAATAAGGATGTGGCATACTGTTGACGTCACATTAGCTACCATATTTATGATATCCCGCCGCTGGAAAACATGCATTACTATACCCACAGTTTCTATATTCCCGAACACGTTAACTGTAAGGGACCGTGAATTTAAATGCATGTAAACTGCTTCTAAACAGAATTTCAAGCCTGCATTTTTGGCATTATCATCCACATCAAAACAAGTAGATCAGTGATGGTGGTGGGGGCGGGTTTTACTAATGCAAAACAAGCAGTATTTGAAGCAAGTTAGGGCTCGCAGGTCAGTGGCCCAAGCCCTGACTCATACGCTTAAGCCACAGCCGCACAGAATGTTGTCACGAAGCTTTTTGCCTGAACTCTGACGAGACCACAGATCTACAGAAGTTCTTTCCCATTGGCCTGCCTAAACCCCTAAATAACATGGGTCAAAAGTCTTGAGACGGCTCATGGAGGGCCCAATTTTTTTTTCCCTCCCGCGTAGCTGAAACCCTCTGCAGGGAACAAATGAAGCATCTGGAATGCACAGTTGAAAACCAACTTAATTCAAAGTCTACGCAGTTACGGATGAATAAGAAGACCCTGAATGAACAGGGGGTTGGGTGTTTTGCCTTAGGGTAGAGGGAAATGAAAGCTCCAGACTCAAACATTCTCTTCAACTCTAAGCCCGCAGAGCGTCTCAGGTCAAGGTTTGACAAATGAAGACCTACTTGAAAAGTCCTCCGAACGAAGCGCCTGCCAAAGGCACCTTACACGCTTCTCCCTTCTGGCACACCCCGCCCAAACTAACATGTAACCGGAAAAAAACAATGTTCAACGCGCAGTGCCTTCCCGGCGGCCGAAAGGGGGTTCCGCGTTTCTTGGGGAGGGTTTTCTCCAGGAATAAACTGAAGTGCAGCGGAGGTGCAGATTGACAAGTCCCACTCCTCTGTAATGCCTACGAAAGCAAAGCCATCGCGCAGTCGCCGCATCGCCTCCTCCTTGGAAAGCTAACAGAAGTTGCGGGGTAAAGCTCCGGACGCACAACATGTTTCGGAGGGCGCTTAAATAGCTTCATCTCCTTTACCACAAGAAGCATAACAAGCTTTCACGTGTAATCTGACAAATGCTTTCTCCTCAGAAACCCCGATAGTACCCCTCTAAACCAATAAAACATCTAGTACAAGTAGCAGCCAGCATGGAAAATCGATCCCTCAAAGGCCTTAGATAACTGAAGCCCGAAGGAAACGCAAGAAACGTCCAAAAATCACGAAAGTATCTTTCGCAGTGCAACGCCGGCTTTATAAAACAAATCTCGTCTTAGGCTGGGGCTTCAACCTCCCACGCAACGGAAAAACTAGCTGAGTCTGGAATAGGGGCCTCTGATATCAGAAAAACAGCCCTCAAGTCTACTTGACATCAATGCTTCTGCGAATTCCCTGTCTCATGTCCACTTTCTGTCCCGTTCATCTGGTTCTAAATTCAGGGGAACCAAAACGCAAAACAAGCGCAAAAATGCAACAGCCCCAACCGGAACGCCTTGCAAAAAAAATCTAGCTTCGGCCATCTTGGGCGTCCTTTCCGGGATGTGCACCAATCCAGGGAGCATGAAATGCCCGCCTGCTTCCCAGTTCGGAAGGCCATCGCCAACCAGCTGATAGGCGACGGTTCCCGCGAAATATCGCGCAAATATGGGCACCTATCAGCATGGAATCAAGCAATAAAAGGAGCTAGAAGTAGATGCTCCTATTGATTTCCGTGTATGGCTTCCTTGAAACCCCACGCGAAATCCCAGGCACTGGTGGCTTTGTGTTGTTCTGGTGCGTGCAGTCGGTTCCAAGTACCATCCATGTGCGCGCATCGTCATGATATGCGGATAGGGTTCGCTGTTCAGGCTGCCGAAACAAGCCGACCATGTGACCTTCCAGTTCCTCAGTGCATCTGATTTCCCAAAAACAAAACAAAATGCCATTAAACAAAGCAGCTCCTCATGCCAAGCTTAAACTTGTTGTGTTTGCGCGAGTACAAGTACCTCCTGCTCAACAAAGGCTCCGGATATCTGCTGCCAACGCACTCGTGTGGGCTAGCCTGGCATCTCATGTGTCCTGCATCGCATAGATCTGGACATGCCTTGTAGAAGTTGGTGGCGAAACGGCAACCAAAGTGATCTTCATCAACTGACAGCTCTGGACCAGCTGCAGGGCAAAAACCGGGCATGTGGATCAAAACGTTGACGAAGCTACCTTGATCCATACTTGGAGAGCACAGGACTCGAATCCGGGCAGCACAAACATACGTAAACTTCGGATCACTCCAGCCGAGCTGCTTCCAGCCTTTGGAAAGTGGATCCATGTCCTTGAGCACATTGCAGGTTGGTAGGTATACGGCTATGCATCAGAATTAAGAGCCTTTTTTGAGGATACAGGCGTCGAGGGGACTAGAAGGAATTTTGCACAAGGTATCAGTGTTCCTCAGCAACGCCTGCAGGATCCCAAGAGCCAGCCGCCTCGAATTGAAGGTCTATTTGACACAGGATCTCAGGCTCTATGACTCGGCTGAGGCTACAAAATCCTCAGCCTAAAAGGGCTGGCCAGTTCCCCAAGCCGCAACAAGAAGCCTGGAACCCCCATGCATCATGCGCTCAAATGCGTTCAACTCGCCTTGTCATCTCTAAGAAGACCCCAAACCGCTCTTGCCGAGTGCCTCAGTCACCGGTGCCTATGGATCTAGTTGAGCTTAAGGCTTAGGAGGGCTTACCCCCAGACCTCATGAAGCGACAGGGCTCATCTTGTAGAGGGTCGATGAGATCACTTGAATACGGCACTTGCCGGAATGATGCCAGCTACCGCTTCATCCCTAGAAGCTGTAGCGCTGTAGCATGGCGGCATCATTCAAGCCCATTGTAATTATGGGCGACAGGGCGGGGAAGCTGATTCGAACAAGCAAGCAACAACGGCAAATCCTGTGATCCTGCGCCAGACCCCAAACCCTGAGCCCAATCTCAATCTCAGCTAAGAAGCCAATCTCCTACATAGAAAGGCCAAGGATCATCGGCACAGTCCGCCCCAGTTGCTGTTGCGAACCATCAAAGTGGAGGCTCATCCTCGCTGGAACATTCCGGAAGTCGTGGGGTGCGTAAGTATGTACGTAAGGATTAGCTGGTTCAGGATCTATAGCCCTAGAACTTCGTGCTGTTGGGCTATTGTTAGCTCAGCAAGCTGCCTTCTCAGAATGGTCCCCAAGAGTTTTAGTATCTGGTGCCCCCGTTTCCAGGCTCCTCCTCTCCTTTTTTTAAGCTCTGCGCGGGCAGTTTAGTCAGATTCAAGCGCTTGAGCACAAGACCCAGAAGGACAGGATACAATATATTCTTACCATTTCAAGTCTTGACTACATTGAGAGATATATGATATATGCGGCCAAGATTAAAGGCAAACGTGATCCAGCTTCCCTTCCCTGAAACGCTAGCCGCTAGCAAACGCCTTGAAGCATGGCTTGAGGTCCGCATGCATTGCACGGAAACATCTGGTGACTGACGACCACAGGGCGTCCATTTCATGTTCTAACCCTGTTGGCCATCTTATGATATCTCACAAGCCAACCCCTACCGCATCAGGCAGAACATTCCAATGAACTTCCTAGGCAATTTTCTGAATTGAAGACCTTCAGAACCATGCTAAACCCACACAGCCGGACGTACTTGTTTACACCGGGGGATATGAAAGGCTAGTCTCCATCTCATGGTTGTCATGAACGCGTACGAAATAGTAGCGTTCTTGCACACTTCAGGAGTGAATTCCTGGTTTCTTGCAGGCTCTGACTAGCGCATTCGTCCAACAAAAACATGCTGCGCTAGAACGTGCATCTTACCAACACAGAGACAAGGGCCTCACCCTTGATGACCAGCCCCCGCAACTTTCCTGACTGTGCAAAGCCCTTTCAACAAAATGTAAACAGGCGTATGCAAAACCACAAGTATAAATATGTTCGAGGTCCACATGGCCAACCTGGAAGTCACAATAGTCAACTTGTGTAAGACTTTGAGTTCTCCCTTTGGGTCATGTCTGGCATATCGGCTAATGGCTTAAATGTTTAGGTCGGGTTGCCGCTGCTGCAGCAGCTCCAGCCCGTGCTCGCCAGACCTGGGAATTATAAACGAACCTGTTTGGAGGCTTCAAACACTTAGGGTCATTCTCAAAGGATGGAAGTGGGGTGTCCAGAAACGTGGGACGGTGAGACGTCACGTTTTGGTATCTTGCGGTGTGCAAGGGACTCTCATGTCTGGAAACACACATGTGGGCATTGTAGTTGCCTCTACGTTAATATGAGTAAGTATTGTTCATGCATGTCCCGTCATGTGTAGCATGAATTTCAGCTTCAATCCATGTGCTTTAGAATTCCGTTCCAGGTATTCTCATGCTATGCTTGTGATTACAGCCGTTGTGCTGATTCGGATAATCATTCTGGGCATTTTGGCTTGTATATTCGGAAAATCGATTGTATCGGCCATTTGCACTCTCCTTACTGTTGTTAGCTCATGGCTATGTGCTAACGACCTTGCGGAATTCATGGGACGGGGGCAGAAGTGATTTACGCGTGAAAGCCGCATCGTCTCTGCACATGCTCCTTCCAGCATGCCAGGTTGTGTTCGGTGAGTAAGGAAGCCCACAAAGCCCAGCAATGCCCCCTGTACAGACCCACTAACCGAACTGACAGCAGCTGCTGCAGCTCTACCAGGACCCTGCAACAAGGCTCCACTACATCCCCAAGCCCTAAACATATAAAGCCTTCCGGTGCAGACCAGAGACTCGCGTTCTGCGCAAGCCTGCCATCACGGTTCAGGAGCCTCCCCTCAAGAAGCCAGGGCCCAACAAGACTCAGGCAAGCCACTTTGACCCAACACTCTGTTGCTAATTCCCCACCTCTCGAAATAAACTGCGAAAGAATAGCGAAGATGAAGCCGGATCTTACCATCTGAGACCCTTTAGCTTCAGCAGGTCCCCATCCGATGGTCAATGCTCTTCGCCAGCTCCAGAACAACCAAACAACATGGCCCACGTATTCCCAAACAGCTCCAAACCAACACAGATGGCGCCTGATCGGGCAGTCTTGACTTGATGACTCTTGCCTAGAAAAAAAGGTGTGGCTCAAGCGCCTCATTCTGAAATCGCTTCAAAAGCAACTTAACACTTCCAAAGACATCCCCAACGAACTTGCACAATACTATACCTACAGTGCTTACATCTTGTCTGGGCCTGCACGATGGCTGTGGAGGTCCATGCGCTCCTTAGCTGCGTCATCGCCGTGTTTGCTTATGATTGGCGTCTTTTGCATGCGGCTACGTACTCGATTCTCTCTGCAAACTGTTCGAACAAGCAAAGCTACGATGCCCAGCACCCTTCGAATAAGCTGGGCTTTCTGTCACAACCTACATAGATTCCAACGGCGCCAAATCACCCGAAAAAGGGAAAAGGAGGCTCGCTAGGGAATCCAATGTTCAAGGCAAGCAAAAGCTGGTTTCGAGAAGTGAAGGCAGGAAAACATGGGGGAGCTCCCCCAAGCGTAGTTCTTGCTCCTCAATGAGTTCCATAGTCTTGAAGAGGTGCTGCATGAGAGGCTGCAAAACATCAGGCGATTGATGGGACATATGCCTGTTCAGCCAAACCTAAACTAAGCTTGGACCAAAGGTAGTGCAAGCCAAGCCAGGTTGACTGCAAAGCGAACAGGCAGCTTCACTCCCCAATGCTGGAACCCCGCATATGCCAACCAGAAAAGGGTTGTGCTCTGTAAACAGCCCTTTTCAGTTTCCATGTTAATCTAACTCGTTCGCATTGGGAAAGTGTGTCTTTCACGGAGAATACTGGGTTGAATGCATGGCAATTGGTGCTCTGTGGGCTATCCTTTGTGATGCGTTTTGCCGTGGTTCGTTTGGTACAAAAGGGAAAAGCTCCAAGGGCACTGTTTCCACTGTCTATCGGCTGCCGAGCTTTTTCTTTTAAGCAGTTAGAGCATGTCCACAAGCACATCGAAGGATTCTCAGTCTGGAGCTGAAGAACAGAGCATGTTGCAAACCGCAACCCAAAATCCACGCCCGACATGCTACAAGTAAGTCATTACCAGATCGGCCGGAAAGCGACACCCGTACAGCGCAGTGCCTCTGAGGAAGCTCCCCACCTACCCACCTCAACAATCTTTGGTCTGAAGCCAGAAGCGACAGAACAGCTTTTATGAGGAGAGGCAAGGTTCAAGAAAAGGAGCTGGGCGAAGAGCACACGGCTGTGACTCTGAGGCCGAGCTGCCATGATGTCCAATTCACACAAAGGGCCCGCTTCTCAAAGCAACAGGGAAAGGTAGACCGCTCCACGAAGGTCGGGGGGAATATACTGAACTGAAGCTATTGAACGACTACGCACATAAACATGCGGGTACTCTTGCCAACTTTTTGCAAGCTTAATTGTGCAAGAGCCAAAGACACTTGTTGGAGGGTTCTAAATAGGTATAAGGTCGCTGCCATGCGGGGAAGAGTGAGTGACTAACAGCACGATTCAGGGTCCTCGTAGAAGCTGAAGGGGCTAAGCAATGCGCCTCCCCATCGCCTGACTACCCAGGAACGCTGGAAGCAGTGCCTAGAAACCGTCAGGATGGTTGTGAGACTGGAGCTGCATAATTGTCACGGAGATGGTTCGGTTTGGGCCAGCGCTGCAACAGCGGATCTTGAATCGTCAATGAAACCTGCAAACATGGTCCGAGCACTCAAGTAAATTGACAAGTGTGGCTGCAAAGCAGGTAACAGAGGCAAGCCCTCGATAAGGATCACCCCCCCAATTGCGAAATCCCATGTTGTCAACTATGGGTGGGACGTGGGACATCTCCAACATGATCTGTGCAGTCTGATTACGAAAACTTCAAACCTTACCGAAGCTGGAACACTTGCACAAATATGTGTCAATCTCTTGATCCAGTCGAAGAAGATTATGTTTCCTTCCTTGAGGGGTCTCATACCATGGATCCCATGGATTCTGCAAATATCCGTGTGGGGCTTAGGGAGCCTGGGAAGGAATTCTGATGTAGCGATCCGGAAAGGATAATAATGCTTAGATGGAAATCCGGTTGCGAGTGCATGGGCTCAACGCCCGCACCATATTGCTAGCCTTACGAAACCGCCGCATGCACGTCGGGCCGTGGTAGCCGCTATACCCTCAAAAGCCATAAGCAGGCTATGTGCGGCCAATCATAAGCCAAAGACAAGCCGGGGAACTGGACTTGAACAACGTGCAACAATGCAATAACCATAGCCGCCACGTAACTAGCAATTGCAACCGATCTCGCATTGCCCTTTTGCCTTAACCTGTTTTCTGTCCAGCCGCTGTTGATGAACTGTGGGACGACCCATGAAATGACGCAGGTTCAACAGCCGGAGCCTCCAAGTATGGTCAAGTTTAATCCAATTGCCTAATCATGGTGTTTTGCCGTCGACGTGTCTGGGCCATGTTTGCAACTCTTGTTTTTGTCCTTTGCATGATGCACGACGGTGTTTACATCCTCTTGTATATCGCAGTACTCTCGGCGTAGGGATAGCATGATGCATGGTTGTTGGCCATTGCGGGAGTGGTCATTCTACGCATTGAACCACAGGTCGAAGCGAGTTTTGCAGGAGGCAGAATTGAACGAATAGTTGTGGGCAGGTTGTTTGCAAGGGCCACCCAGGAGTGCTGAGTGTTGCAGCGTCAAAGGGGCCTGATCCCAGTAAAGATACGAGATGACACGACTATCAAGGTATGAAATGCTCACGAGTACGGAGAAGGTCGATCAGGGTATTGGTAGGGCCTCTGGAAGCGCGGAGCTTGTGAAAGAACATGCATCAACAATGTGTGCGAGTGCTGCTAGGAAACTGTGACGGCCGCAAGCACTACACAAAAAACACGGGAAACGCATGAGCACGACTACATCAGTCATGCATGCTCAGGGCAGTCCACTCAGCTGGAAGATCATAGGACTGGTTGGCAGCAGCTGCCGCTCTCCAAGCGATTCTGGTGCAGCATGCATGCAACCATCCTGTGCCGCTTGCGAGGATCGGTGGAAAATGCCAATTAACCTTCAACTGTGATGCCAAGGCCCTGTTGCAGTTGCGACCCGCATTCTACGCCCATGCAGGCAAGGGATGTCTTCCATCACGGCCTACGCGGGACCATCGAGCAAGGCTCTATGCGAGCGTAGGCAGATGCAGGCAGCCGGCCCTTCCCGGGCATAAACAGGCCTTGCCGAGGCGGCTGCCCAGCGCATGAGCGCCAAGGTGTTGATGAAGTCAGCAACTCTTGCAGCCCGCAGCTCCAAGTTGCTGCCCTCAGCTTGCGAGGAGGGCTGCCTGGCGCTGTAGACACTGTAGCGCCAGTTGTCTGGAAGATGCATGCAGTTGATGTGTGGTAGCCGTAGTCTTCATCGGACCTCGGAATACTCTTGCGGTTAGGTGACTCGCTGCGGAGAGCGTTTTTGAGAGGACCAATGGCAAGGCGCACCAATGCCAACGACATGCCTGTTCCATCGCAACCAGCTACCTTGTGGCTGAGCATGCTAGGCTTTGGAATGTGGACCACTCCTTGGCAGACAAGGTTGTGAGCGAGGCCCTTTAACCACTTTAACCCAAATCGCGCATGCAACTCGCACAATAGTCGTAAACCTCGCGGAGCTGCTAGAAAGTGGAGGGCATCCCTGCATTCAACGAAGACGAGGTGGCTGCAGCCCGATGGGGAGCGGTTTGTTCGGTGCGCTTATCTAGGGTACTTGCTCTTTTGAACACCTTCCCCATCACGCTGCTGCCCTGGACCTGCTAGGCTGACCGCTTCATGGATCCGCAAAGTATGTTCGGCCGATAAACTGCACTTGGGTTCATCTGCGTGACGCAGCTGGTCACACCTACGTAACTATCAGTTGTGTATACGCTGTTGAAACAACCACAAGGCTTTTTACCAACACTCCTGCAGGTCGCAGACTTTGGAACAGGAATATGAGCCCGCGCGCGGTGTCTACGGTGGCAGGGGTACTGCAATGGAGACGCAGCAAAAATGCAGTGCTGTGGATAGCCTGTGCACCCCTGGCCCGCGCCTACCTGGTCGAGTTGCCGGGGACTGGAGGCTCAGACTGCTCGAGCAATGACTCTGTGATTGACTGATGGCGAAATTCCAGCCCCAAACCTGAATCCCTGTCCGTGCCCAAAGAAACCTGCAGGCTCCATCCGTTCAAACTTACCCCTGTGGTTGCTGGTCATGGCTGGGGGCATGGCAATGTGTCTTCTTTCAGCAGCTTAAAGGGGGTTAGAAGGACCCCATTTGCAACCATTTCCTGCGTTGCATGAACCGTCAAATACAGTTATGATCTGTAGGTCCCTGGATAGCCTCCATAATCCCCGCACCCACCCAGCCAAATCCATATAGCCCACCCGGCCAAATCATAACAATGGTGCCTGAAAAACGTACCCCCAAAGTACAGAAGCAGTTGTGTGACTGGAAATGCGTTTCAAACCAAATAACACAAAAGACTAGCCAGGAGAGCTTTTGAGGCCCGTAGTCCTCTCAACACTAACCCTTACAACTTCAACGCGCCCTCTAGTTCCTATATTATGGCCCCTACAAGGGGTCTGCATCTTCCCACCCTATGAAGCTTCTTTTGCAAGCTTTTCGCAGTGGGGAATTTTCAAGAAATCAGGGGTCCTTCTTTCGGAGTCCATATTCCAAGGTGGATGAAGGGCCCCTGAGTTTGGAGTTTGGCAATACCCAGATGGGAAGTCCCTGAATTACTGTTCCTCAAATGGAGCAGTTCAAATAAGGAACCGGACAGTTTCCGGAACTAGAGTAACCTGTGCTCCAGTAACTCAAGGAGTATCCCCATGCGAGGACCAAGAGTGTCAAAAGATTGTGGCACAGCAGCATTTACAGCTGGCGCCTATCTGGAAACCAAAACAAGAGTCTGAGCCTTGTGCTCCATGCGTAATGCAAAATCATAGTCAAGAGCTCGGCAGCAATGTTCTTTACAACGCCGTGGACAAAGCCGTCAATAAGTCTGAAAGGATGTCCTGCGTATCCTCCAAGCCGACTGACAGGCGCAACAAATTGTCCGCAATACCTGCCTTCAGATCTGCACCTGTCCCGGCAAACATCGTGTAGGGCCTCATCAGCGGCTAGTGCAGTTGGGTCAAGTGTAGGGTTTCGTCTGAGGTGCAAGCATATTAAAGGTGCGTATGAGTGTTGGCATAGGCACAACAGGGGTTTTCCCCCGGAAAATGAAATGGATTACCTGCCGTTCTCACTTGATTTCCATCTGATTCCCACTAATGAAGAACCACATGGACAAAACATGAAAATGGATGAATTCTTCGAGATGATGTCGTTGGCAAATACTTGTTGGGTACTACCGTTGGCTCTATAGGCTTAGGCTGTTGGATGGTGGGGTTCAAGGTTCTGCGGATCTTCCGGGTAATTTGTAAAGGCCAAGGGCTTTACAACAAGTTTCTCTTTATTCACGGCATGCTGGGCACGCTGGTATTGAAGAAAGGCTGGATCATGCAACCAGCGTGCCAGGAACCCCAAATTCTCGTATCTGAGCCCTTGATCGGCTGCTTTGTGGTTGGCCACTGGAGATTTGCGTAGCGTCCTACCCCGCCACACATCTCCACCACACCCGATCCCACTAACCCTCTAATCCGAGATTGTTGGAGAGGAGCCTGTGGAATTTTCAGTGGGCCAGATCCTGTCCTGCAGCTATGCCGGGGTCAGAACGCATCGAAATGCTTTTAACCTCACCTGCCCGCGAACCGGGCATGCACACGCACACACAGTACAGTTATGGACGAATGTCCCTGCATGATCAAAAGATATTCTTTCCTACCACACATCCGCGGTTGAGTACCAACAGACATGTCCGCCAGCGTGACGGCACATGGAACAATCTTGCTGTCTGTGACAAGCCGCAGAAAGTGCACAAACCAATGCCCACCATACCCCGAGCCAGAATAAACCAAGACCCATTCAAAATAGCCGCGAACAGACCTGGGTGTTCTTCCTTAGGGGCCCTGTGACAGGATGACCTTGACCTCGGATCCCAACGAGAAGCCCCATGACCCTCTACCAGCCACTGCAACGCTGCGAGCGCTGCGCTGTACTCAGGGTCACTGGTGTGCTCTATGCTCAAGGCTGTGAAGACTCGGTCTTGATGATTCGAAGAGAATACCATAATCTTACATGCCCTTGGAGTATGTTGTGCGCTAGGGCATGGTTCCGCTTTTAGTTTGGATCGAAGTGGGGATCAACGTTATCGAGGACACCATGAAAATGGGCCTGAATAGCTTGACTCTACACTAACGACGCCAAGAAGAAGAAGAAGAAGAGACCTATGCATTGAAAGAATGTTCCGTTCCAATCCCAAAGCAGGCCCCGGTAAGCTTTTAATATCGCTAATGACTCCAAAGGTTATATGTTCGCGGAAAATGCTTCCTCCCCAGATTGGAAACTGCCCCTACGACACAAGACCTGGGTGACCCGCATTTCAATGACCGTGGAGCAATCCTCAGCTTTTGCGCTCTTTGACTTGCGATGATGGGTTAAATGAGGGCAGTGCAATGGGGAAAGGGGGGCCCAGCGCCAGAGTGTCGGCATACACCAGCCAGAATCTGCCATCTGACCAAAATTTGCTGCAACGCCGCCGATTCAACGATCATTGGTTCGTAACATCATGTATTACTGGTGGGATATTGAATGAGGGACTTACATGGAATCATGGTCAATGTAGATTTCTGCAGGACATTGGGGAGATTCTTACTTTCAGTGTTAGACTTTTAGATTTGTGGAGGCCCGATTTTGTAAGAACGATCATGCTTAAAGGCCCGTTGCTGCCAGGGTGTTTTCTTGCCGGCTGGCCATTGAAGGGCCCACGCTCAGAAAACAGTCAAACTGGCTTCGGTCCGGCGCATTCTCAACTTCCTCCTGTTGTGGCTGGTCCGGAATCCGGAAGCTATTGAATTGGGCAAACGGGCGAATTGCAGGGCGTGCAGTGCAGGAAGCAAAGTGAGAACCTTGCATCAACGAAGTCATAAAACCCACACTGTTCAACCTGAAGCCCGCAGCACTAGAACTTGAGCACATGCCCTGAATGTTGGCTGTGGCTCAAAATGAATCCTACTTGCCTCCAGATTCTTGGGCGCGGAGACGCACACAGAAGCACTACTCACGTCCTTTGGAAGATTGTAGAATGGGCCCGTCTATTTGTTCTTGAAGGGCGTCTTGCAAGTTGCCACAAGTCCCTGGTGACTGCACAAATCATGCCAAGCATCCAATTGAATTCTACGTTGCAGTGCGTTTGAGGTGTATACTATAATTCAAAAAAAGGTCCAAGGTCACACAGAACTATTCACGCCAACATGTCGACATCCAGCATTCTTTATTTGTAATTGCAAGTTCCCAGGCCGGGTAGTTCTGTGTTTCAACTGCAATGGCTGACTTTGATGAAACTCTGCGACCGGTTGCTCCCCGCGTGGCCTGTGGTTGGAACGCATGCAGGTTGCTTTGTATATGCAGATACATCTACAACCGCATTCTCAAGTCACATCGAAGGTAACAAAATGCACTGCGCGAGGGAGCCGTCACCTGTTGCTGAGCCAAGCACAGGCAGACGGTTGTCGACAATGTTTGAAAGAAGCCAGTCCCAACTTACGCAAGTGCAAGGTGAGAATGGCATCGACCGTTAAAGTTCAAGTGTGAAAGTCGCGGAACAACCACTACAGGTTCTGGTTTTTCCACGCTTGCTCCTCAAGCTTACCCCTAAGAATTACCTTAAACAGTCTTGAACCAGTTTGGATCCTGCTAACAAAGGCAGCCAGGAATCTCCGAAGGATCCGACCAGTTTGATTAGCCGCAGGTTGCGGAGAAATCTCACAACATCGTCCTGCTCAGGCAGCGGGAAAGCCACTACTGCTGCGACTGCTCCTACTAAGTCTTCTTGCCCACTCCACCGCCGCAGCCGCCGCCACTCCCCACTCCCCACCACCGCCACCGCTACCACGGCACCGCCACCGCCACTACCATCCCGCCACGGCCATGGCCTCCGCCACCACCACGCCACCGCCACCAACACCCCCACCCCACCTCCACCCCCCAACACCCTCACCAACGCCACTGCCACCGTCACCGCCGTTGCCGCCGCCGCGCCGGCCGCCGCCCGCCGCCCGCCGCCGCC